CTCTAAGCCACTGGCTTGCAATTAGCAGCAGTATTGTCAGCCTGCCATGGGTGCTCCTTCAGTTGGCCTTTGGGCTGATTATCCAGTTTGCACATGCCTCCTACAGGCGTGATAGACAGCACAACAGCCAACTGAAAGAGCTTGTTGTATTTCATAAAAACACAACATTTCTGGTAATGTCAAACTCCCTCTATCTGCCACCTAATTTATTGAGTAGCTCCCAAAAGAACATTGCATTTTGACCACTTTAAAGCTAAATATAGGAGCAATCATGTACACAAACAGAAGAGCTTCAGAAACTGAGCTTCAAAACCAGTCCTGGCACTGTGGTAATTTCTCCAGAGCTCTTTATAATTAAATGGTGCACGGAAAGGTTTCAAGGGCGAAAGTTGCTGCAGCTTCATGTCTGCTGGAGCTACTGGTCATATGCAAGATGGCGGCCTCTGGCAGCACTCTGAGAATTTCACCTATTGCACATGGGGGGACTTTCCAGGGACTTTTTAATTAATACACAAGGTAAAGGCTATGATGAAGCATTTGAGCATGAATTTTAAAAAAATTCCTGGAACTGGGTTGTTTTAAAGTCAGTAAAGGCTTGATATGTCAGATGATGAATTAGTGTTTGGAGATAGTCTTAATATGATGCTTACCAATTAGCTTAATCTTAGGCTTAGCAAGAGGAGTAAGGGGGCTAGGTTTAGGGATTGGGTTCTGGTAAAGGTTGAAGAGATAAAAATAAGGCCATTTTAAGGCACTCATTGTTACTGACATCTGCAGATTGATCATCACAACTAATCTCTAATGTACCCTGCAGGTGACATCACAGATCTTACTAAAAAGACCTGATTGAGCACTGTGCCGACTCAAGACTTTTTAATTTTCTAACCGGACAGGCTGATTGTTTTACAGTCACATGAAAGCAATATCAGCCCTTAACAAGTTTGCTATGTATTGATTTATAGAGCAAATGCTTATATGTTAACTGCAAGGCCACTAAAATTGATGTGCTTACTCATTATGTTTGAACAATCAGTTCTGAATACTTTTCCTTATTGATTTGTACATCCTCTATGACCACTGAACTATTTATTTATACAAGTGTAATGCTTGGCTATGGGTTGCTTTTTATTACCACTGTCACTGCAAATAGCACTGTTCGCATTGATGTAAACCTGTCATGAGAGAAACATAGCGGTCTATTCACTAAGCTGCCGTAGCCAGCCGAGTGAATGACCGACCTAAAGCGAAGTGAGCGAACGCTGTTCAGTTATTCGCTTCAGGCTGGTACGGCTGATTTCAGCCGTATATCGGCTGAAATCAGTATGCAATGCTGAGCGGGCAGTGTGCGCTTGCGCACACCGGCCCGTGCGACTTTCGTCTTCTGAGCAATACGACCAACCCGCTGAAAATCGTACAATTTTTGGCAGGTTTTCCAGCGTGCTCAGAAAATGGATGCGGTCGTACGCTGCCCATACACCTTCCGATTATCGTGCGTTTGCGGGATCACCCGCGATTATCGTACGATGATCGTCAGGTGCATGGGCACCTTTACACAAAGAAAACAGTGACTTACAGTGCACAGTTGATCTGATTCAGGTGCTCTCTTTGTGGGGGTGTTGGGAGGGGGGGGTGCATCAATGCTGCCTCCATGTAACAAGGTGAAGCCTCCAACAGCGTCGTTGAGCCTCCTTTCTGGTCCCATACTGCAGAAATGGACAGAGGTCAGCAGGATGATGCAAAGTACAGAGGTCAGTAATGTAACGCACAGTAAATAGGTCAGCAGTACAGAGGTCAGTAATGTAACGCACAGTACAGAGGTCAGTAATAAAGCACAGTACAGAGGTCAGCAAATAACACACAGTGCAAAAGTCAGCAGTGTAAGGCAGAAATAATGCACGGCGCAGCGGTCAGCAAGAACGTGCAGTGGTCAGCAAGAACGCACAGGTCAGCGGTCAGCAAGAACGCTAATTGCGAGGGGGCGAGTGGGAATTTTGAGCCCTGCAGTAATATATATAATTTCTATAGTGTTTTTGTGGACTTTTTTTTGAATGAGTAGGGGCACTAACTACCCCTTACTCATTCCCAAGGGGAGACTGTATCTGGGTGCCACCTTTATGAAAAAGGGCACCCAGATGCAGATGAGCCCCCAATGCTCGCTGACCCCCACAGCCACCAGGCCAGGGTTGTGGGAAAGAGGCCCCCTTGTCTGGTATAATTTTGTAAGGGAACAACAATCCTACTAAACCAAAAGGGTCTGGTATAAATTGGGAAAGGGGAACCACACCCTAGCTTTTCTTTATAATTATTCTATATTTTAACAACAAGTGGGGATTTGGCCCGCTTTCTCCGCGCTCACGTGCATGTTCGGAATGTGGGGCAAAGTTCTACACTTTAAGTTCATTAAAAAAGGACAAGGGTCACTCTTTGGAGGAAAAAGAGGTTTAACATCTGCATACTGATAGACTTCTTCACAGTAAGCATAATTAATTCCTAAATTTGCAGAATTTAACTGGATATTTATAAGTAATAACAACAGAGCTTGTTGATCCAAGGAATATCTAATTGCCTTATGGGATCAGGAAGGAATTATTTTACCCTGATGTAGCAAATTAAACAATGCTTTATAAGGGGTTTTTTTTGCCCTCCTCTGATCAACTGTGGGTATAGGTTTCTTTTTATAGAGGTTTTCTATGTATTTATTTCTTTTTCTGTTGATTGTACTCAATGAACTTGTGTGTTTTTTCAACCTGAATAACCATGTAACTATCGATAGGCTATGCTACCCTGACGACCACAATAACTTTAGTTACAGTTGAGATAATTAGTGTTGTTCTCTTAAAATGTAATGCAGCTGTGCCTCTGTGTGGTAGTGGCTTAAATATGCAATGTTATGGTACCCAGACACATTAATATCCATATTAAATGTTATGGTTTTCTCTTCTACCGAAATATTTTATTAGGTCTGCAGTTTTTCACTTAACCAAACACCTGTTGCTGTGTTTTTCATTATTTTTGTTATCATACTTTAAAAAAAATACTACAGAGTTTGACAATGACAAAGGCCCAAATAAGGTAATTATTACTGTACTGGAACCCAAAAAGGGAATTTTTACTAAAATGTCTACAAAAGCATGCAAAGACAAATAACAATGGCCATATAATAAAACCAACAAACTTTAAATGCATATGTTACTGTTTAAGTGTAGTTCTCAAATAAACATAGTAAAACAGAAAAGTGGAAAGCTAACATATTGTTAATAGGTCGATAATTGTAATTCAAAACAGAATAGATTCCAAAGCATAATTTATGTGCTCATAGACAAAAACTGTAAAATGTCAATAATGGGTGTTGGTGCCATGGGCAGAAAAATGTATTATGTTTTTGTCCCATAGAGACAATATAGACAAAGATATATAAAGTGTGCTATATTATTCACTACTGATTCCAGCTTGGACAAAAACTAGGCTACATTTACCCTACAGTCATGTGGCAACCCATCACATACACATTCATGACCCAATCTGGGTCCCAGCCCATTGCTTAAGAAACACTGCATGAAGTAACAGACTTCACAACTTGTGCTGTAGTGTGTGGCATTAGATTGATTGCCTAAACACAATGCATGTTTAGATGCAACATAGCATATTTAATGCAATGCACTTGAACGTACAGGTGACTGGACCCTATACCCAATGAAATGATTATAAATCAAAACAAATCTTACACAAAAGTTGATTTTCTTCAAACAGTGAGGCCTTAGTATTTATCTGGCTTTTTAAGCATACCACTTGTGCCCAATTATGATAGGAACTAGAAGTTTCTAACTGAATTATTAAAAAAAAACAAAAAAAACTTTTGTATATGAATGAACTGAAATGTTCACTTATGTTTGAATAAATGGGCCCACAAAAATGATTATTAAACTTAACTGTATTTGCCTTTTAGCATGCACACATATGTGACAGACAAACATTATTGTCACCATTTATGTACTAATGTGAAAGAATAAAAGCTTATATATAACGGTTTAAGATTTCATTAATTTCAGTCTCTCGGAGTATTGGTGTCAGAGACAACCAGGCAACAAGTAGTTTCTAGATGTCTGCAATAGCAGACACAAATTTCTCTAGATACAGGTTTCTTTTAACTAAGCCAATTGGCTTCTCCCTCAAAATGCAATGGCCTAAGAGTGTCTTCTGAGGTGTTAGGTAAAGCCTATTATATAAAAACATAGAAGCATTTGGTCCAGTTTAATTCACAAACAGAATTACTCAGGTTGCACGTGTGATTAGGTTATGTAGGTCGAAGAAAAGAGGCATGGCAGACATTCAGGCAGCCCAGAGACATTTTTGCAAGGTGGAAATAACTGAGATAAAAGAGCATTTGACCCATCCAATCCCTTTCTCACCGAACGTCTGTTAACAAGAAATGTCTGTAGTCATGCCTCGACTTTAGATCATCTTCAGATATTGATATTATTTGGACCTGATTTGTTTACTTTACCCAACTGGTGTTACATTGCCAAGGATACTTGGAGAAGGATTATATGAACTTGTATATATTTTAAATATCTCACAGATATCCTATTCTACATACAGTAGGTTGCCAATTTAAGATAATAATAATATGCCTGCGTATACAGCAAGGCAATATAAGATTAAAATATTGTAATTCCTTTCAGCCAATTAGATTTTAGTTTACTTAAATGTGGAAAAGCACGTTATATTGTATGGACAGGTATTTGAAAACAAGATGGTGAAAGTATGGTGTATATATTGCCCAGTCTTAGTTTGGTCACTGTTCATCTGCATCTGAAGCCATTATTTACGTTTAGTTGTTATTGAAGATGTTGAGGGATGACTGTTGGAGTTTAGTTAAAACTATGCTGGGGCTAATACACATTAAATGTCCTTTCATGTGTATTAGCATCTTTTCTGTTATAGCTCTGTTATAGGTGTGTGGCTTTTTCACAACTGTTCCATTTTTTTCTGCATTTCAGCCCCATGTTCTTATCCTTACATGACTGCTTCTGCCTGCCAAGAAACAGGAAACCATTTTTTATTAGGAAAGCAGAAAGACACAAAAAGAGGGACTCATCGAATCAAGCCCAAAGCCCTGAAGAACCTCTCCAAAGAGAGACCAAATTCACTGGTGGACCTAAAAACTTACAAGGACACAAAGATTTTGGTGGCAAAGTTTCTGGAACATTCAAATTGTCACCTTTCTCCAGAAGTGCAGCATGTTGTGAACAGTATTAAATCTGTCATTAAGTCAGATGAAAGGCACATGGAGGAAGCCATCTTTAGTGCCAACATTATAGACCAGGTAAGCACAGTGAGTGACCAGCATATAATTAAGTGAATGTAAATATCTTACCATTCCAAGAACAATAGTATGCAAAAACTCATGTCCGGCACACAGCTACAAAGTCCAGAATTTATTGTAGTGACAATTACAGCTCAAAACCGTTCACGTGTTTAAGGCAGCAACGGCATTAATTATAGTTATGACTAAGACCCTTGCTGGCTAAAACACGTTGGAGGGTTTCTACTATATGAGCTGTATTTGTCAATAAAATAAAACTTGAAGCTGTGTGCCAGATAGGAGTTGTTGCATATTATAGTTGGAGGCAGATGGGAGCCCTGCTGAGTACCAGCATTTGCTGAAATTCTAATTGTGAGTGGAGGTACACATCTTTATTTTCTATGCCTTCTGTGAACGACACCATATATGTTTTCCATACTGACCTGCATCTGCTAGTTTTTGTCTGTGAACAGCACCAAATTATCCATAAGTGTACCTATAAGCATGCAGGATATTCTCAGTTTTAAAATGCAGGTCTATGTGCTTTCCTGCCCAATAGGACTGAGATATCACATAGATGGAATGGAAGTTGTGTTTGTTCGCTGCATCTGAACACCTATGCAGTTCTCAAACACCCTTTTCTATTGGCCTCCACACAATAGTTATATTAGTCTGCATCTCCCACGCCAGGCAGATTTGAGTTGTAGATCAAGCTACATAAAGCTAAGAAGGAGATGTCTCTAGTGGTCCAATCTGCAGATGCATGGAGAACATAACACTGCAGATTATGTTTTACCATCAAAACTAGATCAACCAATGTATCATTTAGTCAGGAAATGTCCTATGGCTTCTTTATTAGAAGGCCACTAAAATTATTCTGTATAGTCAGTTTTGACATCTCTGTATAATGCAATGGTGAAATCCCATATGTGACATAATTGAGCTTCTTATAGTCTTCTTATGGTCCTAGTAGATTTTTGATTCTCAAGACAGCAGGTTCAACAATTCAACAATGTCTATTAGAAAAATGGAAAAAATTGAAAAATTTAACAGATATGACTATAGATATTTGTGGGAACTGTCAGGGCCGGTGCTAGGATTCGTGCCCACACAGGCAAGGTGCATTTTTGCACCCCCCTCCCCGACCCCGACCCCCTGTAAAAACAGGGCATTTTGACAATTACTTGTACTTGCCCCGATGTTTGCGCTATGTTTTTTTTTTTCACTTACCTTCGGTGCGGGAGAGCAGCGGTGAGTCAGCGCTGGTCCTGTGGGAGGAGCTCCAGGTGGGGTCCTAATTTAGCTGGCCGGCAACTGCCTGAGGTGCTGCGCGTGTCAGGATCCTCAGGCAGTTGCCGGCCAGCTAAATTAGGACCCCACCTGGAGCTCCTTCCACTGGACCAGCGCTGACTCGCCGCTGCTCTCCCGTACCGAAGGTAAGTGAAAAAAAACAAAACATAGCACAAAGTACTTGTCAAAATGCCCTGTTTTTTCCGCCCTCACCCTGCAGCGCCATAAGGCGGCCGCCTGACTTACCTTGCGGTAGCGCCGGGCCTGGGAACTGTAAAACAAGTTTCACAAATTTCTACCAGACATGTAGACCATGCAAGGGACAGTAGAAGTAGCTGTGTAATTAAATTTTATATATCTATTTAGATAGTAACTAGATGTAGCAGTCATTTTATAATAATACCATTAGGTTTAAAAGGTTTAGAATTAGAACAGATGGTGTTCCATGTGTCATTTGTCTGCCTGTCTGCTACAATTGTATAAGAGGCACCTGTACAAACCTATTATCATGTAAACCTTCAGACTATAATGAACTGAATACTTTGATAGGAATGGTGTAACATGTTTACCACATACAGAACTAATTATTTTTAAGTTTATCGCTGCTAGCTATACACAGCACTCGGATACACTTATTGCCTAAATCTGTACAACTTGTCGAGTCACAAAGAATATATAACGTTTCTTTCTGATATGCTGAACTTTCGGATGGGGGACATGTGTGGTGAAGTGGTTGTTTTCTATGCAGAAACGGAAAGATCTTTGTAGATATTTCCAATGAGTAAGACATTTACACCTGCTCTTTTTCAGTCAGGATACAGTCCATACTGCACAAAGTAGCTGCATTGTTCAACAATAGATTTTTAAAAGCTATACAAATAGCAAAGACCATTCATTTGTTTTTAAGAAGACAATATAGTATGTTTTCAGAAATCACATATTTAAGTTATTATTATTGTAGTGTTTACCATAAGTGCATTTTGAGATGACGTTCACATTTTACGGAGTGAATGCATAAGACGCACTAAATCTCCTTTTAATGATGTTCAACCGTCTAATTAATTAAGCTAATTATCTTCAATGAGGCTGCTCCCATATAAAAAAAGCACCTCCAAATGAAGGAGGAAGTCTTGAGAAAGATCCAGATATGTAAAATGAAGCAAAGTTGCCACATCAATGGTAATAGAGTCCAGAAAAGGGATTTTATTGAATGATCAATAATATTAAAGAGCCTACACATTTTGGGGATTTACACCCTTCATCGAGGCTCCATTGTAAATGAAAAAAGAAAATACATTCTATCGATAGATAGATAGATAGATAGATAGATAGATAGATAGATAGATAGATAGATAGATAGATAGATTCACACATTGACAGGGGATGTACAACTCTTTGAAAAAAAATAGCAAAATAAATAACTTGTAACTAAATAGAAGGGTCATAAAAATAATTCCCTTTAAAATACAGATTATAGTGAACCTCTATTCTCCCTAAAAAAAAAACACTATAAAGGAGAAATAAATGCTCAATGAAAACAGAATGAAAAGAGAAATGGGTGCACATAGTACTATCTGATGTATGTAGCAATCAATGGAATAAACGTTATATGATCTTGCACTTTGTAATAACTTTGTAATACATTTTAAAAGAAAAACCCACAAAAAAACGAGGAACAACCAGAAATAAATGTTCATACCACTGAAATACCACTGATTGTTAGTTGAATTTATCATTACTTTATTTTTATAATATATCCTTTTATACTCTTTGGAAAATTGTGAATGTTTATATGTGTATCTTTAATTTATATTTTAGCCCCTTTGAAGGAGGATTGTGTGAACCCCAAAATGCATTGGTTGTCTTATATTATATATTGCACAGTAACATACAATTTCTGGATTCTTGATTTTAGAACCTTTTTCTTTCATACTTAGTCATTTCACAAAAACAAAGGTTTGTAGATTAGCCACTGGAGCTCTTAGCATCATAGTGCAGTTATTCTGTCTCTCATTTAACAACTGTTGAGATAAGATATTAGACACATAACGAGAGCATTGAATTCAATGCGGAGGGTCACTTATAGGCTTACATTGTGAGGAGTTGCAGTAAAAGTGCAACCATTGTGTAGCACTGCAAAGCAGGAAGTAGAGCCTGAGGAAGTATAATGAAGTATAATGAGCAATAACTGTCCCTATGTAATATACACATAATGAGAAAAAAATGTAAAGTGAAAACAAAGTTTTAAAACACTGACACAAATAAATATGTTCTACATCCATTTGACCTTGTTTACATGTTGATACAAAAATTAACATTGAAAAGACTAAATACTTGCATTAACAAGTTTATTAACAAAGAGCTGGTCTTACAATAATGTAGCATGATTTAATAATACAGAGAGCATCTATTAACCAACACTAATAATATGAGATAAAATGATGCAACTGCCTTTTTTCATTCATTACTGTTCCATTTTACAATTACTGTTTCATTTGTGTAACCATTTAAGCACATCTAAGATGGCTTCATCTCCTCTGTATGCAGATAGTGCTGAATACATTCACATCCTCCTAACATCAAAGGAAAACGCCAGTTCTGTCAAAATAATCTATTTCAGGCCATATTATATAAGGATATTTCCGTTATTTCCTAACTATAGTCACAATAGACCTTATGAAGCTCTCTGGCTGCACATGCAATACATGCGGATTACAATAATATTTGACAAATACATTTACATTAAATGAATATATATATAAAGTGTGGTAATCATTATATAATTGCTATTAAAATCTTTTACTATTCTGTATTATTAGAGGAAGAGAGATTGGGATTAAAGAGACAGGGCACCCTTACTGATTTTGTATGCCATCACACATAGGGGTCTATTTATAAACAATTCACAGAGCCATTCATCCTGCTAGATTATGTGAACATTTGTTCTGTGTGAATAGAGGCAAAAACAAACATTCTTAGTTAGGGATGTCCCGATACCACTTTTTCAGGACCAAGTACAAGTACAAGTACATCCCCTCATGTACTCGCCTATACAATTACCAATATTTTTTTTAAAGGGACAGGTGACCTTAAATGATCCATAGTACAACTACTAGTTATGTACTATGGATCATGATTTAACCTATTCATGTTAGCAGGGGAGACTTGTAAATCTATTGCTGGAGTGTAGTGGAGGTGTGTGCTGTATATATGTACTACATATACATTACACACGTCCAGTACACTATAGCAATAGATTTACAGCCAGCCGCGTCCCAGCTTCCCTCACTCACAGTTTCACTCCGATCCCTGTTGCCTCACTCGGTGCCTCTCGTAGTCGGCGCTGTGCAGGATCGCAGCATCATGTCTCGGTGCTCAGCTTGTGGTAAGCGCTCACAATTCTGCCCTGCTAACATGAATAGGTTAAATCATGATCCATAGTACATATACAGCACACATGTCCAGTACACTGCAGTAATAGAGTTACAATTATCCCTGCAAATATGAAGGGATTAAATGATCCATAGTACATAATAGTACATAACATGTAGTTGTACTATGGATCATTTAACCCATTCATGTTAGCAGGTCAGAATTGTAAATCTACTGCTGCAGTGCATTCTTTATGTACTGTATATGTGCTACATATAGAATGCACTGCAAAACAGAAAACTGTTGATTTACAATTCTGACCGGCTAACATGAATGGGTGAAATGATCCATAGTACAAC